GTCCCTATGAAATGTTAGATTTTATCTCAGATAACCTTTTTCTGCTTGCTTTTCCTTCATTTTTCTGTTCAGTTTTTTTCCCTTTTCTTTTCTTTTACCATTACCCCATTTTCCTTTTATTTTTATTTTTTTCTAGAAGCACTCCTGCAATACTGGGGCTGCTGAGGTGGTTGTAAAGGCTATAGGAAAGGAAAGATCAGGGGAAGTCACTTAGTTATGCTAATGGGCTCCTTGGTGGCTGAGCACTTGTGTTGCTATCTATATGCAAACAAAGTTCTTAAAAGGAAACTACATTAGGCAGTGTGATTACCCAGCAGCAGTGGATTAATTATATTGATATTTTTATTATTCAAATGTTTTATATTTTTTATTATAGCTTGTATCTGAATGCAGAGTTTTCAATTGTTCCTTGCAAATTACTTCTGTTATACAGTAGTATAAGCCCTCCTCATATATGTCATGACATGATTTACGGAATGGTAATCAATGTGTTCTATTCATGCTAGATCTAACACTTTCGCTTTCATAACAATTCCAGAAACATTAGTGCTGGAGGCACCGATGAGGTTGTAGAGGCAATGGTCCAACAGGATGTGTTATCACCGCTCTCAAAACTGCTCCAGGACTATAGGGAACCCTGGACCCCAGCACAGAAAGACACTTTGCCTACAGGTCGCAAAGATCCACAGGCTGAAGTCTTTATCCAAGCTACACACCTTTTGTGGAATCTCTGGTGGGTTATCTGTTTATAATTGTATATTGTATCCATAAAAAGTTAAAGATATTGATAATATACCTGTGTTACATATTACAGAAATAATGAATAACTGTTATACAGAATAGGAGAATATGAGTTGCTTGTCAATATGTTTATATGGCTGTATTTATAAACCTTCTGTTGGGTGTGCCAAATAATAGGATAGTCTTTATTTTTAGATATTTATTTTGTGTTTTTTAATGATCTGACATCAGCCAATTACTTGTATATTAGTAATGTGAATAATATAATCAAATCATATTTTCCTCCCAAGTGAGTGCAATGAAGAGGCTATGAAAACCTTCAATCATGATGGATTGGTCCATATTCTCCTCCTTCACCTGGACCCAACAACTTGGGGAAACAATATAGCTCTGGCTGTTGCAGAGTGCCTTCTATGTGTCTCAGAGAATAATCCAAATGCAGCATCAGTACTTCTTCCAGCAGCAGACTCCTTGGTATCTTATATTTCCAGACCGACAGATTCAGCTGTGGATATTCGATTTGCTGTAACTATTGCGGGTGTGTATAAATGAAAAGTTTTCTTATTTCGAATGTCGGTTTCTCTCACAAATCTATGAAATGTTGTTTATCTTGCATGTGAGCATATTTATTTTGATATATAGATATTGCTTCAGAACAGGTCTTTATAAGTGTGTCCTATTATCTGTCTCAAAAATATTTAAGCTTCATTATTATTCCAGGATTGCTTTTGAACATTAATTACTGCACAACTGGTGGTGACAACTTTCAGCTAGTCCTCCGGCTGCTTTCTACAGTATTAGATACAGATACAGTTGATCTAGTAGTGGAATATTGCCAGAGTGCCAAGGCTAACAATGGTATCAAGCCATCTATGACACCCCAAGATCAAGAGCACCTTATAACAGCCCAGCAATTAGCATTAGAAATTCTCTCAAATTTCTGTTGCCCTGATGGTAAGCACCAGAAAAAAAAAGGTTGAAAGTCATTCATTGGATATGTTGATTTTAGACTGGTTTGTATTATTGTAGGCTCTAATAATTTTTTGTTCTTTTTTTCATAGTGCCTACAATTAGAGATTTAAAGCTTGAGAAATTTGCAATACAAGACACATTCATGGCAAAACTGAATAAGAAGATTCTTTGTCTGAGTACAAGAGAGTTTATAGCTTGTTTATTTATAAGAGTTTGAGTACCATGATTTTGCTATTTGCTCATTCAACTAATGAACTTTCCTCAACAGATGATGATGACAGTTGGGATGAATGTGAAAGTGAATCAGTAGATGGAGCAGAAAATGGCATGGAAGATGATACTATGGAATTGGAAGATAGACTTTCACTGCCACCAGAGGTATTGAAAACCTTTGTTCCTCAAGACTAATATTTAAAAAAAGATAAGAATAGATGACAACTAAACCTTGATTACATTTTATGGGAACAGACCTTGGATTAGAGGAGTAAGAAATATTAGCATATGAAAAAATATGTCAATGCAGTATGCATAACCTCAGGATTTCTTATAAAGTATATTTTGTTTCAGGTTTTAGAAGGTATAAAGCATTTTCAGTTGTTTAAAAAAACACTGAAGAAAGCAAGCTACCCAGAAGAAGATATATGCCAAGACCTTCAAAACTTGAAATATGGACCATCACTACTTAACAAGTGAGTGTGGTTGGCAATATGTGGTACCAATATGCACCTGAGAATTTTCCCTTCCTTCCCTTACTGTTTGTAACTATTTTCAGAACACAAATTGTGGG